ACAGCCATGATACAAGAGTTACCACCATGGTATGGCATGGTAAAATCAAATTACCACACTATACCATATGGTATGGCATGGTAAAATCAAATTACCACACTATACCATATGGTATGGCATGGTAAAATCAATTACCACACAGAACCCTCACATTTAACTTCCTAATCACCACATTTTACCACATGGTAATGTACTGTAAAATCAATTACCACATGATAAGGCATGGTAAAATCAAATTACCACACTATACCATATGGTATGGCATGGTAAAATCAATTATCACACAGGATCCTCACATTTAACTTCCTAATTACCACATTTTACCACATGGTAATGTACTGTAAAATCAATTACCACATGATAAGGCATGGTAAAATCAAATTACCACACTATACCATATGGTATGGCATGGTAAAATCAATTATCACACATGATCCTCACATTTAACTTCCTAATTACCACATTTTACCACATGGTAATGTACTGTAAAATCAATTACCACATGATAAGGCATGGTAAAATCAAATTACCACACTATACCATATGGTATGGCATGGTAAAATCAATTATCACACAGAACCATCACATTTAACTTCCTAATTACCACATTTTACCACATGGTAATGTACTGTAAAATCAATTATCACATGATAAGGCATGGTAAAATCAAATTACGACACTATACAAACTTCAATAAACAAACAAATTTGTATATCTTACCTCCTGATTCACCAAAGTTAGCTGAATGATCAAATCCAAGATCGATAGATGAAGAAGCAATTCCAACAGCACTAGATGAAGAACCAGATCCTACAACGCTGGTTGAAGAACCAGATCTATCAATTGGAACAACATCGCCACAATTTACGTAACTCATCTCACCAGAATACTACAAAAACACCAAAACACAAAGAACATAACACATGAACAAGCTCGATTAGCTAAACATAAACAAGCTCGACTAGCAGCAATGAAAAACCTCCAACGAAACCAGAGATCAACAGAAAACTCGATTAGCTAAACAGGAAGAATAAAAAAAACTAATATCTAACCTCGTCGTCGATCAATTATGGAGAATCACAAAAGATTCGCCGTCCCCTGTTTCGCAGCAGCTGCTCGCAGTTTCTCTCTACAAAAACCGAATCCAACTCGCGCACACGTCGATCGATTATGGAGAATCAGAAAGCTCGATTCGAAGCTGCTGCTCGCAGTTTCTATCGCCGTCGATCAACCATGGAGAATCGCTGTTTTTGTTTCTCAGCTGCTGCTCCCCTGCTCGCAATTTCTCTCTCCAAAATCCGAATCCAACTCGCGCACACGTCGATCAATTATGGAGACCGAGAATCAGAAAGCTCGATTCGAAGCTGCTGCTCGCAGTTTCTATCGCCGTCGATCAACCATGGAGAATCGCCGTCCTTGTTTCTCAGCTGCTACTCCCCTGCTCGTAGTTGAGACTCTCCAAAATCCGAATCCAACTCGCGCATAGAAAGATTCGCAACGGACAAAAGGGGAAACTCATTAATTCAAATAACGGACAAAAATGCCCCTGACCATCCCGCTTCAATGACAGCCACACGATCCGTCCGCCCCAGATCAACGGTTCCTAGGTGGTTACTCACGGGTGAGTAACAAAGGGTTACTCACCCTATCCTAAGCCCGTGCATAGAGAATGAATCTACCAGATAAGATAAGGGAAAGAAAACTAGAGAGAGAAAGTAACAAAAACTGAACCTAGAGTGCCCTAAATCAAGTCTCCCCACCATTGAAGCTCGATTCAAGTCTCAAGGGGTGACGATTGACGACCTGTAGCCGATTTCTTTCGTATACACGATGATTTCCACATCCGGCTTTGCTTTCAACTCTCTCTGTATGGAATATCCCCTCTATCACTTGGGTATGTAAGAACTCTAGATTGTATGTTAGAAGGAGTTGTATGAACCATTTGTCATGAATGATTGATTGATTTTTATCCGATCGAGGTATTGATTCCGAATTGCTTGAGTTCTGATCAAATTCTTGTGATTCATGCTTGAACCCTGAAAATGAACGGACCTGTCGCCAGCTCAATGCGCTCAAATCGAGACTGGCTACAGAGGAGGACTTGGATAAGGTCATTGTTGCTGAAGGACCAGATAATGAGGAAGAAGAAATGGCTGACCCCAATAATGTAGTGGGGGACATGCAAGAATCGCCCGAGGAGCGGACTATGGGGTACTACTTGACCCCTATGGCCGAGGATCTGAGGTCTAGCATTCAACATCCTCAAGCTAGTGCCAAAAACCTCTATCATTCTATGTTTAAGGGCTTTGTGGCCTTCAACAGGAGAATTGGTGAATGCCCTCGGGAGCATCTGCAACAGTTCTATGAGCTGGTCGATGAGATCAGACTGAACGAAGTCACTCAAGAAGCCATCCGAATTCGCTACTTCCCTTTCACTCTGGAGGGACTGGCCAAGACATGGCTGGATACCCGTGCTCCAGGCTTGATCACCACATGGACTGCCATAGCTGACAAGTTTGTAAACCGCTATCATACCCCATTGAAAACAATGGATCTACATAAGGAAATAACACACTTTTCTCATGATTGAGATGAAACCCTCCAAGATGCATGGGAGAGATACTCCACTCTCTTCCTGTAGTGCCCAAATCACGGTTTCACCAACGTCTTCAAAGTGAGAAACTCCTACCAAGCCCTCTTTCCCAAACACCGTGATTAATTCAGTCTGTGGCGGGAATATGCTGACCATGATACCCCCGCAATTGAACCAACTCTTTGAGGATATAGCAGAACAGGATTATCACCGAGGGTCTACCAAGAGGTCTCGGTGAGCTTCACGCCGTGGTCTGCATGCTCTGGATCCTCTATCATTTGCCTTGGTGGATGTAGTTTCTAAGCTGGTTACGACAATCGACCGTAACAGAAGGTTCCAAGCATAGTCCAACCTCAAGCGATGTACTGTAAGTTGTGCGAGAGAATCAACCAAATGGTAGAAGACTGTCAAGAGATGAGGGAGTCTATCTCACATCATGAGCAACTGGACTTCATTAGCAATGCCAGGGGCATCAATCCTTACAACAATATTTACAACGATGGGTGGCGCCATCATCGTAATTTCTCCTAAGGTTGCAACAACTATCTTAAGCCACTAGGCTTCCAGGCTCCACCAGGCTTTCAAAGAAAGCCATACCAACGTCGCCAGCGCCAATTCGAGTAGCAACACCAGCCTCTTTACCATCCTAGACAGGGTCAACCCCTTACTCAGCAGTAGCCCCATCAAATTCAACAGTCGGGCGTAACCCAAGTTGATAGCATCATATTTGCACATGTTTGCACCCTCGTTTCTTGATCGTTTTGGCTCAACCTTGTGCTTTCTTTGCCTATTTTACGCTAGCTTATGTTGACACATTTCAAGTCCTAGCAGATAAAGTGAAGCATAGGCGCAAGTTTCAAGTCAATTGGAGATCAATTGGCGATTCGAGAGAAGAAACTCGGGTATGACCTGAAGAAGAATGGGTTTCTACCTCATTTAATGGAAAAAGAGTCATGTACGATTTTCATGAAAAGAAAGAGGATGAGACTATGAGCGCCTGGGATCAAACAACGACTGATTTGGAGTCCAGACGAGAGAGAACGAAGCATCAAAGACAGTGGAATAGGCGCAGAGGAAGAAACACGAGAAGGAGAAACACAGTCATGTTTTTCCCTCCTGGACCCATGTGTTTAGTGCCGAGAAGAAACACTGGCAGGGCTGAAACACGGGCTGAGAAGTACGACCGTGTTTGTGCCCCCTGATTGGCTATAAGTTAGTTTTTTGTGATTTTTGAGAGAGAGAGCTGGGTTTTGGATTCCAAACACCCTAGGGACGAACCCTAGAGAGAGAGAGAGCGACTTGGGAACATTCTTGTAGCTATTTTGGAGTATTTATTCACCATTGGAGCTCGAGAATCAAGTTTGGAGATGGAGATTGAAGATCTAGATAAGATTTTTGCATTCTCTCTCTTCTCTATAGAGTAACTTCCCTTCACTTAGGTTTTGAGGAACCCTAGTTCCATGTGTTAGGATCTTTCTTTTATGAAATTTTGGATACTATACTGTTTGATTATAATAGATTGAGGCATGATTTATTGATTCAATTGAATCCAGATAAAATTCTCTTGATTTCTGCTTTAACCTTTGATAGATAGAATCTGATTTGGTTAAGAGAGCTTCCTTGATTGATAGTAGTGAATTGATTGTATGAGATTCAATTAATTAACTACTTTGTAATGGAATTCGTTCCACATAGTGGAGATCTGTGTGAATCGCCTTAGCCTCCTATCCCAGTGAAGGTTAGTCACCTGCTATATAATCTGTCAAAGAGGGCTTGGTCAGCTTAAGATATTCCAAACTATTTTCGGATCTTCCACAGTCTAATCTATAGTAAAACGACCAAAGGAATTACAACTTGGACCTAATTGAAGAGCTAGAGGGAATCTTACTTAAGTGAGTTCCCAACCTATAATTACTAGTTTTACGTAATTTAGCTCGTAGAGTTGTTTAGTTAATCAAACCTTAATCTGATTTGCTAGATAATGAACTGAAGCTGAGTAATAGTAATTCTAGAGACCCGTGGATTCGATATTTATTTCTTGATCCCTCTATGCTGCATTTCCATTCTGCGATTACACTTGGTCACAATTTGGTGTTTTGTCGTAGCGAGTCAGGTTTTTGGCGCCGTTGCCGGGGAACTTTCTAGATTATTAGGAAAGGCAGAAGGTTGTTAATTTAGCTTTTTTTTTCTTTTCTTTTCCACCCTTGCTTTTCACTTGGGTGTTTTGTTTTTGTTGGTGCATATCTGAAACATGGATCCTAATGGCTTCTCCAACCATTGGGGGTATCCACCACCACCTGAGTGATATTACCCTGAGACTTCCTGGAGCAATCAAGGAGGAGAAGAAAATTACCAACCCCCCTAATACGAAGAACAATCAGACACCTGGGCATTTCAAGAACAATATCTTTATCAAGAAGAAATCCTCCCACAACCAGAGGGGCCATCTGACTTGGAGTTAGCCATTGTGGTCTTCACGGGCCATTCTGCAAAGACGAGTTATACTCCACGGCCAGACCCGAAGAGTAAATTGGATCTTTCATGGAGCAGTGTGCTCTGGACACTGAAAGATCATGCTCCAAGCTGGATCCTCATATCCAAGCCATTGCCCAAACATACTTCTCATTTCCCCGTGGAATAGAGGAGACCCTCCGGAGCATAAAGAAGCATGTAGAGGTTATTGAGAAAGCTTGTGCACAGTTTGCTCAAGACACCCTTTATGCTACCATACAAGCAGAGGGGGAGGAAGAAGAAGCCAATCATGGGGATGTTGAGGAGCATACAGAAGTTGGCACGGAGAACTCTTGTGATAATCATTATCAGGAATGTCCTCTGGTGGTAGATCACACAATTCCCCATTTATGCTCTAACATGTTGGGCCCCGAGCGCGGCGATGCAAGATGATTTCATTGGAGAAATTGCTTGGCGACTTGCTCTCCAATCTGTGGTGGAAGAAGAAGAAGAGTGAGGAAGGTTGAGGGAAGAAGTTGTGGGGGACGAAGGAAGTGACGTAGAAAGAGTTCTTGCACTTTTCCAAGGGGAGATACCACATTTTGAAGAAGGAAGAGGGAAGGAAGAAGAAATTGACGTCCAAGATGATGAAGAAGTCGAGGTGGAAGAGGCTTGCACTGGCCATGAGTTACATGTGATATCTCCATCAAACTTCAAGACGCTGCTAGGAAAAGACCCATTTCCAGTGTCTCTTTGCCAGACAAAGACCACATCAACATCGATCCCTCTTGGTGGACGTAATGGTGGTCAATCGATGATATCATATCTCGAGTGTAGATACTTCATCTTCCTCAAGTGCACGAGCCATCTTCATCACCTATCACACCACCTGCTCGTGACTTGAGAATGCACCTCATCAATGAGAACCTCAACTTCAAGGAGGTTCAAGGTTGGACCGAAATTTTGGAGCCACCGTCCAACTAATGACGTGAAAGAAGCGCTTATTGGGAGGCAACCCAACTACACGGTTTGCATTTCTTTTCCTATTTCTCTTTGGTTGAATCAGTGTTGTGCTATGATTTTTGAGTCAATAACTCAAATTTTGTGAGCTTTTGTGTGGTCTTTGTGGTTCCACCTACTCTCTCTTCCATGGAAGGCACCTCCTGTTCCATCCAACATCGTTCATCACCCAATCCGGTAACATCGTTTCCCTTATCCTTTCCTCTTCTCCATTGAGAGCAATGTCGATCTTAAGTATGGGGGTATTTATCTATGTTATCTTTCACTGAATGGATGTGTTCATGTGTTTGGAGCCTAGTCCACTATCCAAATATGGAGATTTGAGGGCTCCAAGTACGGATGTTTGCATGATCATATTGGCACAATGGTTTTGTATGGTGAATCGATTGGTTGTTAGCATGGATATATGAAGGATTTGTTTGTGCTTGAGATAACCTATAATGATGATTGAGACGTGCAATAGAGTTATGTAGGGGGTTCAGTATTCAATTGTTTGCTTACAAACTATGACTTGGTTTGATCACACTTTTTCTTGCATTCGTTTATGCATAGAGGTTAGGGAATTAGAATAAGAGATAAAGCATGTAGTTAGCTGACACGCCACGACACAACACCTAACAATGGCCAAGTGTAACCAATGAAAGGGACTCGAGTATAGTGGCACAAGTAATAAATATCGAATCCACGGGTATCTAGAATTACTATTACTCAGCTACAATTCATTATCTAGAAAACTAGATTAAGGATTGATTTACTAAACTACTCTACTAATAACAGGTTGGGAACTCACTTAGGTATGATTCCCCCTAGCTCCATAATTAGGTCCAAGTTGTAATTCCTTTTGGTTGTTACCTTGGAATCTCTTAACCCTACCAAGCCCTCTTAGACAGAATACCCGGCAGGCGACTAGCCTTCATCAGGATAGACTGCTAAGGCGATTCACACAGATCTCCACTACTGGGAACGAATTTCAGTACAAAGCAGTGAATTGACTGCTCTTTGTACAATCAAATCACTCCTATCAATTGAAGAAGCTCTATCAACCTAATCAGATTCTATCTATCATAGGTTAAAGCAGAAATTAAGAGAATTTGACCAAGATTCAATTGACTCAATAAATCATGCCTCAATCGATTATAATAAAAAAATATAGCATCCAAAGATTCAAACAACCAAGATCCTAACACATGGAAATAGGGTTCCTCAAAATCTAAGTGAAGGGAAGTTAATCAGATATCAATTGGAGATTCAAGAGAAGAAACTTGGGCATGACCTGATGAAGAATGGATTTATACCTCATTTTATGGACAAAGAATCATGTAAGATTATCATGAAAAGAAAGAGGACGAGACTACGAGCGTCTGGGATCAAAGAATGACTGATTCAGAGTCCGGACGATGGAGAAACGAAGCATCAAAGACAGTGGAACAGGCGCGGAGAAAGAAACACGGGCCGAAAAAACATGACAGTGTTTTTCCCTACTATGCACATGTGTTTAGTGCCGAGAAGAAACGGGCAGGGCTGAAACACGGGTTGAGAAGCACAACCATGTTTGTGCCCCCTGCTCGGCTATAATTCTGTTTTCTATGATTTTTGAGAGAGAGAGCTAGGTTTTGGATCCCAAACACCCAAGGGACTAACCCTAGAGAGATATATATTGGTGGCGTCTTCAGTGCACTCACCTTTTTGGGTGCATTCAGTGCACTCACTTCATAACCGTCATTTTAAACATGTGATTCATGTCAAAATGATGTCAATCATCACTTATGATGTGATGAACAATGAAGCACACGAATTTGCACAAAAATCATTCAAGATTTACTTTAATTTGAAGGGTTAAGAGATTAGAGATTTAGGGTTAGGTTTAGGGTTTACAGTTAGGGGTTTAGGGATAGAACTCAAAATTGGAGGTCTAGGGCTTAGGATAATCCGCTAATTAGTTGTTATCATATGTTATATCATCATATTACACTAATTCTATAAATTAAAATTCAAAATACGACACCTTAAGACTAGTTTTTGAGTTGAGTGCATTGAACGCACTCATTTTTGTGAGTGTGTGTGTGTGTGTATATATATATATATATATATATATATATAGAGAGAGAGAGAGAGAGAGAGAGAGAGAGCAACTTGGGAACATTATTGGAGCTATTTTGGAGGATTTATTCACCATTGGAGCTCAGAAATCAAGGTTGGAGATGGAAATTGAAGATTTAGATCAGATTTCTGCACTCTCTCTCTTCTCTATGGAGTAACTTCCCTTCATTTAGGTTTTGAGGAACCATAATTCCATGTGTTAGGATATTTCTTATATGAAATTTTGGATGCTATAATATGTTTGATTATAATCGATTGAGACGTGATTTATTGATTCAATTGAATCCTGATCAAATTATCTTTATTTCTGCTTGAACCTTTGATACATAGATTTTGATTAGGTTAAGATAGCTTCCTTGATTGATAGTAGTGAACTGATTGTACGAGAGTTAGTTAATTCGCTGATTTGTACTGGAATTCATACCACGTAGTGGAGATCTATGTGAATCGCCTTAGCATTTATCCCGGTGAAGGCTAGTCACCTGTCGGATAATTTGTCTAAGAGGGCTTGGTCAGCTTAAGAAATTGCAAGCTATTTTCGGATCTTCTGTAGTCTAATCTACAGTAAAACAACCAATGGAAATTACAACTTGGACCTAATTAAGGAGCTAGGGGGAATCATATCTATGTGAGTTCCCAACTTGTAATTAGTAGTTTTACCTAGTTTAGCTCGTAGGGTAGTTTAGTTAATCAAACCTTACTCTGATTTGCTAGATAATGAATGTAAGCTGACTAATAGTAACTCTAGAGATCCTTGGATTCGATATTTGATACTTGATTCCACTATACTGCATTTCCATTATGCGATTACACTTGGTCGCAGTTTGGTGTTGTGTCGTAGCGAGTCACCAGTACATCGTGATCCGATGGCTGAGCTGAGACATAGTGAGTTCTATTGCCAGCTCCAGTTCATTCAAAAATATCAAGTAGTTCATGGAAAAGGCATCAGGAAAGTTCCTGGAGCTTGAAGCTGGTCTAAGGAACAAACAGGCTGTTTTGCAGGACATACAAACATAGCTCGGGAGGGTGGCTAAAGCCATGGTACAAAGGGCCCCGGGTATCTTACCTAGTCACACTATACCTAATCCAGAGACCCGGATGCCCACTGCAATGCCGTTACTACCAAGAGCATGGAGGTGACTGTGGAGACCCCTGTCCAGGGCATACAGGAAAAAAAGAGACCTACTTTAGCACTTATAGTAGATGAGGAAGAAATGGAGAAAGAGAGAGAGAGAGAGGTGCCTTCTCGTAAGCCACAACTAGTGGTGAAGGAGTATGTCCATCAACTTTCCTTTCCTACTCAGTTTCAAAAAGACCGACTAGAGACTAAGTTTGCCAAATTCATGGCAATGCTGAAATAGCTGAACATAAACAATGTCTTCCATTGAGGCACTGTCGAAGATGCCCAAGTACGCCAAGTTCATGCAAGACCTCCTCACCAATAAGAGGAAGCTTGGGGAACTATCGATAGAGATGCTCAACGAGGAATGTTCTGCCATCCCGAAAAATAAGATATCAGAGAAGTGCAAAGAAACATGGAGTTTTACTATTTCTTTCATAATAAGTAGTTTGCATGTAGGAAGTCCTTGGCGGATTTAGGCGCTAGCATAAATGTCATGCCATATAAAATGTTTAACAAGGTAGGCCTAGGTGAACCCAGTGATACTAGGATGAGTATACAGTTAGCTTATCAATCTATTGTGCATCCTAGGGGTATTGCAGAGGACTTGATAGTCACAGTAGGGCCATTTGCATATCATGATTATTTTTTGATTCTTGAAATTAATGAGGATGTGAATTTGCCTTTGATTTTAATTTTGGGTAGACCTCTTCTCGCTACCGCCAAGGCCTTATATTGATGTGAATGATGGAAAATTCATTTTGAGGGCTAGGAGTGAACAAACCCCCCCCCCCCCCCCCCGCTCCATGATGATTTGGATTACTGTGATGTGGTTGCTAATTTTGAGACCACACTCGCCATAATGAGTGTGGGTACTAATGATTTCCTTGAACGTTGTCTTTTGCAAGGGTTACATGCATCACATGAGTTGCATTTGGAGAAGCAGCTAGTGAAGTTAGATGGAGCCGTGATCGAGGGGAGAGAGAAGCGATTCAAGCCGATCAAGCCGATCCATGTCTCTCCCTAGATTGCCACATCCTTGGAAGAGCCACCAGAGCTGGAGCTTAATCCCCTCCCTTCTCAGCTGGAGTATGCATTTCTTAGGGAGGGGAATAAATTTTGGTATTCATCAACGGAGGTTGACCCCTAACCTAGAGGCCGTGGTCCGGGCCAAGATTGTGAAACTGATGGATGTCGAGATCATCTTTAGTATATCTGGTAGTAGTGGGTCAGCCCCACTCAGGTGGTTCCCAAGAAAGATGGGGTGACTAAGGTCCCAAATGTGAAGAACGAATTGATCCCGATGTGAACTTTGACTGGGTGGCGAGTCTGCATCGACTACCGCCCCCACCAGGAAGGACCATTTCCCGCTCTCTTTCATGGATCAGATGCTAGAGAGGCTGGCGGGACACGAGTTTTACTACTTCCTTGATGGCATGTACGGGTATTTCTAGATCACGATTGCACCAGAGGATTAGTGAAGACCACTTTCACTTGCCCCTTCGGCATGTTTGCATATCGGCACATTCCCTTCGGTCTCTGCAATGCACCGACAACATTCCAACGGTATATGATGGAAATCTTTGAACGAATCATTAGAGAGATTATGAAAGTCTTCAAGGATGACTTCCCGGTTTATGGAGACTCCTTATCTCAATGTCTCCATAACCTGGAACTTGCCCTGAAGAGGTGCGCTGAGACTAATTTGGCACTCAGCCGGGAGAAGTGCCATTTCATGTTTCATGAAGGGATTGTGCTTAGGCACAAGATCCCCAATCAACGGATTGAGGTAGATTAGGTGAAGATTGAGAAGATCAACAAGCTACCTCCGCATATTTCTGTGAAGGGGAACCGCAACTATCTGGGTCA